ATTCTTATTAAATGTTCCAGAAAGTTCAGTTAATAGAGACCAACATACATGGTTATGTTATACATATGTTCAGAACATCTGAATCAGTAAGACAGAAGCTAATCTTGATAATGAAAACTCAGAAACGCATTTATACACAGATCTGTTTAATACATTCTACCATACTACAATAACATCCTTCAAGATTCCTTAGAAGTCTTTTTTAAAAAGAAAAAAATAAAAACAAGTCTCCCAAATTCTAAGTGTACTGGGAAACAACAATTTAAAATATGTGTCTAAAAATCTTTGCATGATTAAAATAGTTTCAACAGCTTCTGGCACATATTTTGGTAACTTTAGTGAAACAAAATACTTTATGGGGGGATGGAGATGCAGTTTCTGATTTCAGAGAGTAGAAACATTTTAAAATTCTGGATTGTCTTTTAAACATTACACAACATGAAGAGTTAAATGCAAACTGCAATTATAGATCCTAACTATAGATTATCCTTATAAAAGGTAAATTCATTCTATATTGCCCAGAATGATCCAAAAAAATCACTAATACCAGTCCACATCTCTAAGACTGATGGGACTTCTGCATCAACTTTTGAGAACTGAAAAACTGAAAGGTAAGATCACAAAGGACAGCCACTTTAATACACAGTTGAGCTTACTCAGACATTTCTCTTTCTACAAACAAGTACTCTTTCAAGAAGTTATGAAAGTAGCAGTCCTAGTTTGTCTTAAAAAGCTGTATAACTCATAAGAAGGGAAAACTTTTCATGTCAAAAGCCAACAGGTTTTTTTGACTGCAAATATCTTCTCTAAAACATTAGCCTCTAGGGAAATCACAACATTGATAAAGACACGCAAAGAGTCTTCAGCAAATCTCAATATCTGAAAGGTAACACTACTATTAGCACTTTCAAGGAAGAGAAAAATAACTGCTACATGATCCTGGAATGTCATTCATCACCAAGAAGGGACTGGCAGGATTTCTTCTGGCTCCTTTATTGAGCAATATAGTTAGCCACGTGTTCCTGGTATCATAGCACAGAAGTTTTCCATTGCAAAAGAGTATTAAAGAAGATCTTCTCAAGCAATAAAAACCAGAAAATTTTTTTCAGTAACTCTAATTATTATTTGGTGAATCTACCAAAACATCTGATACATTAGTAACATAACATGATGAATGATACTAGAAGTATTTGACCACAAGTATGCTTATCAACACCAAAGATGACTATGGCAATAAGAAATATACAGATTTCTCATGTATCAGAATTCAAGGTCCCATCTAACTCCTACCTCATAAATGAAAACACTGCAAAAAAAAAAAATTTTTATCAAACAGCTATATTTAAAAAGAAAAAAAGTCAAAAGATAACACACATATTCTTCTACCATAGGCCATCATCAAAATTTCCAGAGTTATCCAAAAATACTACACTAGAAACACTCATGAACAACTCAGACAATGGCCTGGATTTTCATTAAATAAGACCAAAAAAGATAATTAAAATCATAAATTAAGGTAAAATGACGTTACACAGCTCAGGAGTTTCAACCATAATACATGCTGTTTCTCAGAAGAAACTCCTAACACACTGCTAAATGATGACCTGTCATAGAGGAAATAGTATCCCTGTTATTATTTTGATAAACAAGTTATAAGTAATTAGATCATTCTGGCCTGTACAAATTTAGCCAGGTCAGGAGGCAATATGGCACCAAGTTTTCCCATAAACTATTTTCTAGGCTCGAAACAACTTTGTACCAAGTTTCTCTATAACTTTCACAGACATAATCTATGAGCCACATCCTATACAGAATCACAAGATCCTTGAATTTAATCAAAATTAAAATGACTATAAAAATTTACATCACACAGGATTTGATACATGCACAGGATAGGTAATATTAACCCTCCTCTCCTCCTTTAGTGCTTCCATACACCTAGTATGTATCTCTCTTCTATCACTCATAAAACCATTTAACAGACAATCCTCCCCCATAAGACTGTGAACTTAAGAACCAGAAACCCACCCTATTCATCTTTGTTATCTTCACTACCTAGAAATGCCCTGGTCATAATGGTCATTCAAGGGACACTTAGAGAACAGGAACATAATACCCATGTCACAAATGCACAGAGAGGGGAAGCAGACAACAGTAAATCAGGTAAGTAGAATGCAAATTTCAAGAACATACAGTAATAGATTTAAACAGAAAGACAGCAGATAGCATCAGGGAAAAAGCACTGGGTCTGGAGGGGCTAGGATGTCTTTGGAATTTAGATCAATTCTAATCCAGAGTTTGGCAATAATAAATGTTATAACCTTGAGCAAATCACTTTGCCTTCCCAGATCTCAATTTCCTCATTTGTAAAATAAAAAGTAATACGCCATAATGATGATTTCAAAGCAGCAGGAACACTTATTACTGGAAAATAGCACTAGCAGAACAGACCATATACACTATGTGAGATAACAGAACTTTGAGCAAAGGGCACTGTATGGGTGGGATGCACAACTCTATAAATAGTAACAGGTCACATCAACAGCAGTCACAGCTACTCAAGAATTATACACATATATCTAATGTGGAAATTATCAACACTCACTCATTCAATAAATCTTTAAAAAGAATCAAGTTTTGCCAAAGGTAAAGGATAACAGGACTGAAGAAAAAGAGGCAAAAGCAATATTCTGCTTGTTATTTCCTAGTAAAAATTACAATACAGATCATATAACACACACACTCACAAAAAAACAAGCAAATCGAAAAGCATCTTTATGCCTTTTATAAATTGATAATTGTCCTCAAAATGAATCACATTATTTAATTATTAAGACTAGGAGAGAGAAGTATTTCACATCTCAGCAAAAAATAAACCTTCCACAATAAACACATACAGGATACATTCTCTGGCCCTCAAAGTGAGTCTTGTTGGAATATGAAGAACCCAATATGGAGATGACCAAAGAAACTCCTAAATTTGAAACCCAAAATAACTCACAGACCAATATTCCAACAGCATATCCAAAATAAATCTTTGCCTCATAACGAGTCATCTATCTCAGATAAAAAGTTGTGATCAATTTTGATTGTGACTATCAGACTCAATATAGCAACATCTATAATCAATACTTTTTTAATGTAAGCCTTGTTCTTAGTACTATGCTAAATATTATAGAAGATACAACAGCACTAAAAGGCAATATCCTGGTCCACAGGAAAATCTTCCCAACCTTACTAGGGATGAGTTTTAGGTTACTATAAACACATAGTTCTACTTTTCCAGTATCTCTCCCAAGGACCTAGGACAAAAAGTGAGCAATTCCAATATCCATATATATATTTCAAGATATTTCGTAAAGCTAAAACAAATTATCACCAACAAAGCAGATCCAGATATACAGGAATGAAATATACTAAACCCCAAAGGGAATTTCTACAAAGCTGGTTAAGATAAGAGTACCCTGAAGAGATAATCTCACATGAAGAAATACTTCATATAAATGTAAAACATAAATAAAAAAGAAAAATACCTTTGCAGCCATCATAACTACAAAACAAAATCATAGTGCTTCTGACCTGATTACTCATACCTCAATCTTTCTCTCAAATTTTTCAAAAGGAAGGCAAAGTGGGAAAAAAATTTGAAATTTTCAAGTTTGAAGTTAAAACAACCTATTCACTCTTAATGTATACAATCAATGTCTATCTATTTCTGAAAAATGGCAGAATATAATTGGCTACACAGATCAACTACGTTTAAGAAAGCCCCAAAATCCATTAATGTCAGCTATGGAGCATCCCATAGCTATGCCTATAAATTATTTAATTACAAATTTTAATCTACCTAATTTTTCAACTGTTTTTCTGTGAATTATATCCTAAATTCCCCTTCAACATCAACTGTTCAAACAAAATAAATCTGGCTCTCTTCCCCCCAAGTCAAGATCAGGAAATAACAATTCTATACTAGTTTCAAAGTTTCATGGTAGAATTATACAGTGTTCTTTTCATTAGAGCATACCAAGTACTTTCATTCACATTATTTCATTTCAGTCTTTCAACCCTATGAGGTAAGGCAAGAATTTATTTATGGACGAGTACAGAGATTTAGGGATGCTAGGTACAAACTTCATTGCTAGAAAGTAGTTGAACAAAGACTAGTCCACGTGTCTGAACTGTATATACAATTTGCATTTCACAATGTCACACAAATCAAAGTATTTCTAAAGATTACTAAACTTAAAAACTACACTTTTCCTACTTAAACCCTTTGTAAATACAGTGAGAATTAAGATTCTAAATCAACTGCAAGCAGTAAAGAGAAAAGCCTAAACCACCTCCTTTCTATATCAATCTATTTTAATAAACGTAATATTCAAGAGTGGCTCAAATATTACAGTAAAAACATCTTAAAGTCAAGATGAATCCCTTGCACTGAACCTATCACACAACACACACCCAACACTGCACAATGCATGCTAGCAGAGAATATGTGAGGCTAGCTCTAACTTATTTATATAGTATTTGACTAAGAATTAAAATGTCAAAAAACCTTCACTTTTCCTAGACTTAACCACCTCTTGGCTTTGCCGTACTCTAGTCTAGGTGTCTCCATAGTGGAGTACAAATGACAATCCACTGAAATAAGAAGCAATTATTAAAATGCTGCATCCATTTTTTGAGTCTCAAAATAAGAACTCATTTTACTAAATATACTGTAACTGACACTGTGACCCTCACATAAACTCAAAAATACACATACAATTGAGATGGGTGGTAGATCCAAAATTTTTCACAGAAGGGATTCCTAATTCAAGAAAAATTAGAGGCCAGTGCTACCAACAATAGAGAAGGTAAATGAGTTCTAGAAGCCAGATGAGTCTAGACTGCATCAAATAGAGAACCTATTTAAGGTTTCACTATCCTACAGTGCATATACAAATAAAGATTTTTTCAAATGCTTTCGCATAATCCATGCTGATATAAACATAACTTACCTCATCCTGGACTCCACTGGTAGTAGTCAACTTGCTCCCATCAGTAATTGTAATAATTATTGCTGGCTCCAAAAAAAAGGGGTTTCTTCCCTAAAGTCAAAAAAACATATTGATCATATTAAGATCTAAAAATGAGCTTAATTTTTCTGAGTAAAAAGTCAATTTTCAAAACAGTATATAAATCCTCTTTTCTTGTTTTTAAATTTTATTTACAACTATACCTTTTGTACATTTTCAAAAAAGGTTTAGAAGGAAACATAAACTAAATGGGTTAACCTTGAAGGGCTGGAATTAGAGGAAAAAATGGATTTTTCACTTCTTTTCTACATTTTTGTATTGTATTAATTTTTACAGTGAGCATCTATACTTAAGTAACTAAAAGTATTTAACTTCTTAAAAGGGACCCTACAGTTCAATTCTAATGATTTGACATATTTAGATATTACAAATTAAAATAGTTTTTAACTTCCTCAACATTTACCAAGTAATCTATGTCTATAATCAAAGTATCTAGCCAAGTGATCCAGTACAGAGATGGAAGGGCTCCATGAGCTGGTTCCAAAGAAACCCTAGGCCTGCCCTGAGCTTAGCAAAACAGTCCAATATGAAAAGTCAAAATTAAGAAGGATGGCAATTTAAAGAAATTGCTTGGCCAGAGGAGTAAAAAAAAAACAGCAGTAGCATAGGCAATGAAACAATGGTACAGAGCTCTTAAATGCTCTACAGTTAAGGTGAATCAACTTCACTAACTTCCATTCAAATCTCTGGCCAAGTCACTAATGCTATGATCAATTCTAGGTAACAGATTTTGTTAGGGACTCAGATAAACATAAGCTTATCTTTTACACATAAATGACTCTCATTTGCAATACTGAAGCATATTTTGTATAACTCTTTAAGACAAAACCATGACCAAACATAGAAGTTACACAGGGTAAACACTATGTAAGTATCAAATTCTCTGCTACTAACAGTGTGTTCAAGAAAGGTCAGAAAGTAGTTTTGTTGGATATGATATAAAACAGCATGGGACACATGCATATGAATCACTAGGAGATCTTAACAAAATGCAGGCTCTGGTTCAGTAGATCTGGGACAAAGACTAAGATTTCACATTTCCAACAAGATAGCAGGCTAGGAGACAGCAGACACTAAAGTCCACTGACCACACACAGAATAGCAAGGATGTAGCATGTAATATTTTATAGTTCTGTAACATTTCCCTTACATTTATATAACCCTCAATTATTAGATTACAGCACACACTCATTTGCTGACTGAGTTTACAAACGCTCTCCACATACAGTCATTGTGATTATAACTTAATCATAAAGAGGGAGCAGGGGTATTTGGTATATTAAATTTCTTGATCAAGTCAAGAAGTGTAATGTATGTAAGTGACATAAACATTTTTCAAACTAGTGTCCAAGAAACAATGGTTCCAAGTAGAGAAAACGTCCTCTGGTCAGATCAAATTAAAATATGTTGGAATAACCTCTAAAGGCTTTCAAATGCAGCTGCATTCACATGTTCCTAGAACCTTGCAGGAGAAGGATGTGATTTCCCTCCCTTCTTCCTCTATAACAGTCATGGGAGATGGAACACATTTTGGAAAACATTACTATGCTGCCTCTCATACCATTCATCCCAACATACACAATAAATTCTCATAACACGGATCTCCTCTTCAATCTAGAAACAGGCAGTGTTCATTCCCAACCTCTGAGCTTTGACTGGTTCCCTTATCAAGAATGCTTTTCCTTTATCCTGCCCACAACCCATCTAATTCCTCATCCCAGTTTAAGCTTTCCTCTCCTGCCTTAAGACTTTCCCTGATTACTCTGGCCTTGACTAATTCACCCCCCCTTTCCCTCTCCAAATTTTAATAGCGGTAGTTTTCAAACTTAAATAAAAATATAAACATAACATTTCCCCAAATAAAACTAGACCTGGAGTGCTTTCATGGAGTACATTTTGAATATACTTCCCTACAGCATGCATCTGTTCCTTATGTTCACTTTAAATATATTACATCTCACACAATAATGTGTATATACTTAACACCACTGAACTTAACACGAGTTTACAGAGCCTATCAGAATTACTCAAACTTCAACAAGCTTCAAAAAATATAGATGTCACCTTTACGGCAATATAAATGAATGCTTCCCAAACTTATTAGGCAGTAAGAGTATTCCACCTTCTTCCTCTTTATGTCCATCCAGTCATCCACCTTCTATTCATTCATGTTTGCTACTCAAACATTGAGTGACTATTCTACATCAAGAACTGTTGATGCATGATACATAATCTCTATTCTCATAAATAATAAAAGTACGTACCAATGGACATACAATAACTCTCCTCGTCTCTACAAATATATTTGGCTACAAATATAATTTGACAAAAGGAGATAAAATCAAGATGTCCTCGTGTGTATCTCACTTTCATCCTTAAGCTAAAACTACTCTGACTGACTTGCTTCCTTTAAGAAACAGATCAGCAAATCTATTAATGCTGCTAGGGCATGGGCTAAACACTTGCACAGGTATCTCTGCTTCACCTTTATATTTTAACCTAAATCAAAGTCATATTTTCTGTTCAAAAGTTTGAAAACCATCCACTCTTATTTCTGTGTAAGCACACTCATAATTATCCTCCAAAAGCCAAATGACTTGACATATTTACAATTAAACTATGTACAATTAAAAACTTCATGGATGATGTTGTCTACCCAAAAACTCAAACACATACTTATTTAAGAACCATGTCTAAAAATCAAGTTCAAATGTATTAAAACTTAGCAAAAAGTCTTTAAGTTATAAAAATTTAAGCCAAATTTAAACATTAAAATCAAAGTTACTTTTTCTTGACAACAAAGCTCTTAATTGATACTTTACTGGAGACTTGTACAGATAATACTCTTCAGATTCTATGCCTAAAATTACTGTAATAACCAGGCACTTGATAATAGCAATAAGCACTTATATTTATCTCATCTGATCCTAAAAACTTGGTGAAGTAAAAATGTTTAATCACGGAGATTAAATGATATAACCCTAAGTCACACATCTGATTTTGGAAAAAGCCAGAAAGTGATTCCAACTCTAAATTACGTGGTCTTTCTGAAGCATCTGTATGTCCTAATAGCAGCAGCTAAATTCTCTTGAATACAATTCTACACCAACCTGGGTTGTGCCATTTTCATGCAACAAAGAATGGTATTACAATTGCAGTTGTTGTTTAGTCACTAAGTCCTGTCTGATTCTTCTGCGACCCCATAGACCCCACCAGGCTCCTCTGTCCATAGGCTTTCCCAGGCAAGAACACTGGAGCAGACTGTCATTTCCCTCTCCAGGAGATCTTTCCAACCCACGGACGGAACCTGCGTCTCCTGCATTAACAGGCGAGTTCTTTTCCAGGGAAGCTCCCAGTATTATAGTACTAGAATTATTCACCAGGGAATCCCCCAGTATTACAGGATTACGATCAATTTGGTTTCATTTAATATACTCTACCTGCAGTAAAATTAACTGTGTACGGCAGGACTATTTCATTATTTGGTTTCCTGTTGCTCTGTGATGTCTTATTTCCTGCAGTTCTGTGATGCCTTATCAATTTTTCTATATATAAATCAATATACCACTTCCCCAAGAAAAACACAGTAAAACAAAATGTTGTACATATTACTTACTTTTGAAAACTCTATAACTTCAATCAACTTTCAGACATGATATATACAAATGAAAAAATAAAATAATATTAAAAGCTTTTAATGACTTTTAAATTTTGGAAAATACAAGTAAAGATCAAAGGCAGAAAAAAGTAAAGAAAAATCTGGCCATCTTCATTCAGCTCTTTACTCATTTAACTCTGCTGTGCCTAAGACCCCTTCTTGTCTCAGGTGAGACAGTTTAGTCAAGAATCACACTAAGAAAAGGAACAGTATTAGTTATGATAAAAATCAGAATAATGACTTAATGAATGTAATTTACACACAAAGAGAGGTTTCTTTATTTCCCCAGGGAAAAATTATCCCAACTTCCATATACGAAGTATTGTATTAACATTTATCTAAGCATAAATTTCTAAATAACCTGCAGAAAATGACCAGACCATGTTGTGCCAATAAAGTTTTCTTACATATAGTTTTAGGCTGTTCCTCCTCTGCCTCTTCTAGTTTGGCAAAAGCATGTATACAACTGGAATCTTTCTCTGATATTATCTTTTACCCAGCAAACTAAAACACATTTTTGGTTGTCTGCCAGTATCACAAGATTATTTTTTTCATGTTTTACAAAAATCTGCAAAGTTTAATCGGAGAAGGCAACGGCAACCCACTCCAGTATTCTTGCCTGGAAAATCCCATGGACAGAGGAGCCTGGTAGGCTGCGGTCCATGGGGTCGCTACGAGTCGGACACAACTGAGCGTCTTCACTTTCACTTTTCACTTTCACACATTGGAGAAGGAAATGGCAACCCACTCCAGTGTTCTTGCCTGGAGAATCCCAAGGACAGGGGAGCCTGGTGGGCTGCCATCTGTGGGGTCGTACAGAGTTGGACACAATTGAAACGACTTAGCAGCAGCAGCAAAGTTTAATAATTCTCAAAACTTTAGTCACTATTTTACATTTTTATTCTTAATAAGGATATCAATGAAGTCACTCAATTTGGAGACAGTTCATATTAGAATTTACCTCAAAATTCACCTCAATCATAAAGCTAGTCTTTATCTTAAGAGTTGAAAAGAAAAAAAAAAATTAAAGGTCTGCTATGACCAAGGCAGCCAGTAGAGGGACTAAAAGTTTACTTATGCCATTAGCAGAATTAAAATTAGATGTTTTCCTCTCAGAACCCTGGTTCTTGGCATAAAGAATCTAGACATGTAACTAAAAAAAAAAAAAAAATACAGTGCAAAGTATATAACTCTACCTCTAGAGAGATTTACTGAGGGAAATCTTGTCATTCAGAAAATTTAAATTTAGTATCGGCCAAAAGTCTCAGGTAAATACAAAAAGATAAATACATGCTAAATAAATAAGATAAATGCTGAAGATAAATACAAAAACTTTCACTTCACATATATTTTC